TGTTATTGGTGTTGTTGATGCTGAATTATCAGCAGCTGTTGTTGATGATGTTTCACTCATGCTTTTAAAGTTGTTGTTGATGATAATTGCAATGTGTATGGAGAGCGATGCTTTTTTTGTGGTGTTTGATGTACAATCAGGAACGATTGATGTGCTCTTCCTTCCATTTGTTCATGCTCACTTCATATCAACACAGGTTCAGCAATTAACTTTTATACATTACCGACATGTGATGTTCGGATACAAAATTGATTTCGTTTTTGGAAAGTTGAAGACAACATAGCAAGACTAGCTGGTGGAGAATTTTTAAGCTTACCATCCCAGCGCTGGGATGGTCAAAACCAGCTAGACAACATCAAAAACTCGCGACTAAAAATAATCAGCTGGTAAAAACTGACTTCGCAGATTTCAAGTAGCCAAAAAACAATTTTCCAGTCTTGCTATGTATTATTTAAGGTTGCAAAAAGGTCATTTTCTTTACCACACTATCAATACATTCCTTTACGTCCCTTGAATATTTTGTTTAATACTAAGGCGAAGGCTTTGAAATGCAATTCTTCGCTTTACCTAGGCGTTGTATGTTTGTTGTATTTTTTGAAAAATTTAAGGAAAAAAACAATGGAAGACCTTTTAGCCTACCTCGATAAGAAGTCATCATCAACAAAGGCTAATAATGCTGAAAATAAAGAGGATGGAAAAAGTGTTACAGTTATTGATTCAATGTTAGATTTGGATTGGGAGGAAGATTTTTCTACGGGTTTACTCTCCGATGATGAGGTTAATCAATATTTGAGGGAAATTAATAAATCATCAATGAAGAATGCGAATGGGAAATCATTGAAGAATTGGACTGATTCGGAATTGATGGTTTATCTTGCTTTTAATCAAATTCCTGAGAATGTTGTATTGAAATTATTTGAGAAACATATTGGAGGTGATTATTTTGTGACTAGTAATGTTACTCATGAACAACTTGCAATAGATTGTTCTATTGATGAGGAAGTAGCCCTTAGAAATTATTGGATTATTGGAAAAAGTTGCAACTCAATAAGAGTGGA